CTACAATGATTCCTTAAATAGATGTATCCTTCTTAATGAATTTGTTTCTCACTAGACTAAAAAAACTCACAATATTTAAAATCTAATAAAAACTTCACATCCTATGGTCACTTATCAATTTTTGTAGTCCGGTGGAAATCGGAAGATTCCCAACAATTATAACTATCAAAGTATGCTCCAAGTTTTTCAAGAAATTGAATCTCACTCTTCAAGCTTATACTCTCTACATTTACCACTGTAACCGTAACCGTAACTAATGGTTAATTCCATTACTATTAAATCTAATCCCATGGCTCGTTGTGCACTCTGATATAAATTAACATCCACCAATCTCACAAATCATCACTAGCCCCAAGATAAGAATTCTCATAGGTTTGAAAGTTTTGATAAGATATGTCAAGTTCCACCAAAATGTACAACTGAAACTTAACCACATTTATCCTCCAATTATAGCTTCTAAAATGTGTACACTAACGATCTATCTTATCCATTAATAAAAAATCTTAGTAATTAGCCAACTATACTACTTAGGCTAAGGGCCAAGTTATATCTCCAAGATATTTGCTCTCCGCCCCCAAATCTTGAGCTCAACTTAATAATCCTTACAATCTCCTTCATGACTCACTTGTATCCGGATTCATACTTTTATATCAATCTTAATATCTCTACATGTTTAACAACTCGATTAGTGCCAAATTTTATTTATTTTTATTTTATTTTATCTCAAAAGTATTTATTCTTAATCTCTATCCTTGAGCTAGAATTAATAACCATGAAATTAATTCATAGTGCCTTTCATTAACATCACAATTCTTTTCGCAATGCCTAAATTTCGAATCCTTATGACACAATCCAGTACAATATATAACTTGCAATATACCAAAATGTAAAGATATACTGTCAAGGATCCCAAAATTTCTCTCAATTAACTACTACCAAATTTCTTGTGGTAAAATCAAAACCAAAAACTAGAATTCTAGCGATTACACTAATGTTCCTCAATTTACCCACATTAGTCTTCATAGTCTTAATCATTATTTGTAATCCCCAAGATAATAACGATCTGCTAGTTACTAGGATAACCATAGTTATTTATCCCAAAATTACATAAGATTTCTACATCCATGTCAAAGCCAATCTGCATAGGTATCATCATTGATTCCTCAATTTACATCTTTCCAATTATCACCACTAACTGTCAAGTTAGAATCTTCAATACTCATACCAATCATACTCAAGTATAATTAATCAAGACTATCTTAATAATGTACTAAAATAGACAGGAAAAGGAACTTCATATTCTCTCAACACAACTTCAATAACATTGAAAAAATCTCACATAACGATAAACNTATAAATTAACATCCACCAATCTCACAAATCATCACTAGCCCCAAGATAAGAATTCTCATAGGTTTGAAAGTTTTGATAAGATATGTCAAGTTCCACCAAAATGTACAACTGAAACTTAACCACATTTATCCTCCAATTATAGCTTCTAAAATGTGTACACTAACGATCTATCTTATCCATTAATAAAAAATCTTAGTAATTAGCCAACTATACTACTTAGGCTAAGGGCCAAGTTATATCTCCAAGATATTTGCTCTCCGCCCCCAAATCTTGAGCTCAACTTAATAATCCTTACAATCTCCTTCATGACTCACTTGTATCCGGATTCATACTTTTATATCAATCTTAATATCTCTACATGTTTAACAACTCGATTAGTGCCAAATTTTATTTATTTTTATTTTATTTTATCTCAAAAGTATTTATTCTTAATCTCTATCCTTGAGCTAGAATTAATAACCATGAAATTAATTCATAGTGCCTTTCATTAACATCACAATTCTTTTCGCAATGCCTAAATTTCGAATCCTTATGACACAATCCAGTACAATATATAACTTGCAATATACCAAAATGTAAAGATATACTGTCAAGGATCCCAAAATTTCTCTCAATTAACTACTACCAAATTTCTTGTGGTAAAATCAAAACCAAAAACTAGAATTCTAGCGATTACACTAATGTTCCTCAATTTACCCACATTAGTCTTCATAGTCTTAATCATTATTTGTAATCCCCAAGATAATAACGATCTGCTAGTTACTAGGATAACCATAGTTATTTATCCCAAAATTACATAAGATTTCTACATCCATGTCAAAGCCAATCTGCATAGGTATCATCATTGATTCCTCAATTTACATCTTTCCAATTATCACCACTAACTGTCAAGTTAGAATCTTCAATACTCATACCAATCATACTCAAGTATAATTAATCAAGACTATCTTAATAATGTACTAAAATAGACAGGAAAAGGAACTTCATATTCTCTCAACACAACTTCAATAACATTGAAAAAATCTCACATAACGATAAACGTAAACACCAAACATTGATATCATCCTTATTTCAATAATTGTCTACTATATCTAACCTTGAGCTTTTAAACTCTATAATCTCTGAATTCTATAATATCAAGGGTTAAAGGTAACTACTACAACTTAGTCGTGCTTCTTAGATTTCCTTTTTCTATGTCTATAAATTTGTTTACATAACTTGACCTCAATTTCAAATCAATATTTGTAAATACAAGTCAACTATTAGCTATACACTCACCAAGAGATTCTTGATTGTTAATATTCTAGAGAGTCTAAATATAGTGAATTGAGTCCACAACAAAATAAGATTACCTAAGTATAACATCTTCAATGAGTATCCTATGTATGAACTTTCTAAATCATAAATACTTTCAAAGTAAATTTAATCAATTTTCNATCCTTGAGCTAGAATTAATAACCATGAAATTAATTCATAGTGCCTTTCATTAACATCACAATTCTTTTCGCAATGCCTAAATTTCGAATCCTTATGACACAATCCAGTACAATATATAACTTGCAATATACCAAAATGTAAAGATATACTGTCAAGGATCCCAAAATTTCTCTCAATTAACTACTACCAAATTTCTTGTGGTAAAATCAAAACCAAAAACTAGAATTCTAGCGATTACACTAATGTTCCTCAATTTACCCACATTAGTCTTCATAGTCTTAATCATTATTTGTAATCCCCAAGATAATAACGATCTGCTAGTTACTAGGATAACCATAGTTATTTATCCCAAAATTACATAAGATTTCTACATCCATGTCAAAGCCAATCTGCATAGGTATCATCATTGATTCCTCAATTTACATCTTTCCAATTATCACCACTAACTGTCAAGTTAGAATCTTCAATACTCATACCAATCATACTCAAGTATAATTAATCAAGACTATCTTAATAATGTACTAAAATAGACAGGAAAAGGAACTTCATATTCTCTCAACACAACTTCAATAACATTGAAAAAATCTCACATAACGATAAACGTAAACACCAAACATTGATATCATCCTTATTTCAATAATTGTCTACTATATCTAACCTTGAGCTTTTAAACTCTATAATCTCTGAATTCTATAATATCAAGGGTTAAAGGTAACTACTACAACTTAGTCGTGCTTCTTAGATTTCCTTTTTCTATGTCTATAAATTTGTTTACATAACTTGACCTCAATTTCAAATCAATATTTGTAAATACAAGTCAACTATTAGCTATACACTCACCAAGAGATTCTTGATTGTTAATATTCTAGAGAGTCTAAATATAGTGAATTGAGTCCACAACAAAATAAGATTACCTAAGTATAACATCTTCAATGAGTATCCTATGTATGAACTTTCTAAATCATAAATACTTTCAAAGTAAATTTAATCAATTTTCCGTAATGTTTTCAAACCAATATTGGTAACCTCAAGTTTGTGGTTATGAAAACAAACTCTTATTCATTTAAGAACCTTAACTACAACTCCTATTGCTATTCTAAAATAGGCTCTCATTCGATGTTACTTCACTATATTCCTTCAATTTATCATATTTGATTATACTATCTCATACCATTGTACTCACCCTAGAGGAAAGCATAACACTCACATGGTTCATATCGTAAAACCAAATCTACATTCATTCCTTAATTTTCTATGACTTTTAAGTAACACTTAACTTTTCATAGCCTTATCATTCAAAACTTATTCCATCTTAAAAAAAAACGTCTAAGTTGACCTTACCTCCCCACTTCCAACTGGGTTATCATATTTCCTTGGCTTCCAAAAATATAAGCGACTAATAGTAGAATATAATACTTTAGAGTCGACAAGACACCAAGTCATAATCCCATTTTATATTGTTATCCATCAAAATATATCAATTAACATGGGGGTATCTCTAAATTAAAGCCTAAATAGTGATGGAAGCTTGCTTAAGGTTAAATCCTTCAGAGTCTAAAAAAGAAAACACGACATTTTTATATCCAAAGAATACCACATTACAGATTTTTGATCAACTTCAAAAAATAAATTGATTTAGCTCAGGTATTCCTAGCATGTGTGACCTATATGGTTAAAAAGATATACGAGTTATAATTCTAACAAAAAAAACGGTGCACCATTTGAACGTTCCAACAAAGAGTTACGATCAAATTAGTGAAATAGAGTCTATCTGACTGATGGTTTTACTATACTTGTCCAACTCGGGTTTGGGTGTCTTTTGTCACAAATCCTATCTCATACTCATCTCCAATATAGATAATATGACTTGCATAAAGATCCATGTCTAGCATCATTTACAAACCAAACTTCAAATTATCATCCATCTCCTAGAATAGTCCAAAACGTCATAATATAAAACTAGAACATACATCCCAAATTTTTGTCAACTTCTCAAAGCTAGCTAATCCATGAATTCTAAAAGACCCAGGACCCTTATCTCCTCACTCTCTCATCGATCCCTCCTCTGCAGATAAAGACCATTTTCCTAGAGTTTTATTTTCAAATAAACCTACTTCCTGGGTATTAGTTTGACATTTAAAATATGCTGGTGCTCTGTATGACATGCTAATGTGGAGTATATTTAGATAAGATCATTCCTTCTGATAAAGATGGTTCTTATTGTGCAGAGAAACAACTGCAATTTGGATTTCTGTAGATGTTCCAAGTGCACAACCCCCGGGTCAATATGAAAGGGAGTTCGTCATTACTGCTACCAAAGCAGACACAGAGTGATAGTCTATCCTCTTTACTCCAGTTAAATATTAGTTTTGTTATGTGAGATTTCATTTATTAATTGTCATTGTTTGGACTGTGCAATTTTTTTGATACTTGAAATGGGAAAGTCGGAATGGTTGATGCAACTAATTGTTTGCTCAAATTTGTCATATTCTGAATCAACACAGATGTACAGCGCAAAGCCTGGGCAAAGCTGAGAAGCATCAACTTTACATAGAACTTAGGAATTGTCTTGACATGGTGGAACCGGCACGGATAATTCCTANTTGACATGCTAATGTGGAGTATATTTAGATAAGATCATTCCTTCTGATAAAGATGGTTCTTATTGTGCAGAGAAACAACTGCAATTTGGGTTTCTGTAGATGTTCCAAGTGCACAACCCCCGGGTCAATATGAAGGGGAGTTCGTCATTACTGCTACCAAAGCAGACACAGAGTGATAGTCTATCCTCTTTACTCCAGTTAAATATTAGTTTTGTTATGTGAGATTTCATTTATTAATTGTCATTGTTTGGACTGTGCAATTTTTTTGATACTTGAAATGGGAAAGTCGGAATGGTTGATGCAACTAATTGTTTGCTCAAATTTGTCATATTCTGAATCAACACAGATGTACAGCGCAAAGCCTGGGCAAAGCTGAGAAGCATCAACTTTACATAGAACTTAGGAATTGTCTTGACATGGTGGAACCGGCACGGATAATTCCTACAATAGTATGAGACAGCGATCTCCAAGTTGGCGAAACTAAAACAACAGGGTCAGAAAAAAGAGGATTAGGTGAGTGCCCGACTAATCTCCTCCGAAGCGTAAGTCAATAAAAGGTCGAAGGGTTTTGCTCAATGGACTATTTTTATTATTCGAGTTTGCGTATCTTTGTCTATTTTTTTGAGGAGTATTTATACCTGAATTAGCAATGATTGCCAAAGATCTCCAGTCTCATCTGGACATCTTACATCTGACACATCATTCCTTGTGCAATGAATGTTTTCTACTCACGTCTCCTCCAATTGAATGCTAGGAAAATGAGATAAATGCTCGGCCAAATGATCGGCATCCGACATCCACTGAGTATTGAATACTCGGGGAGAGCAATTCCTCGAGAAAGCCAATCACGTCGTCTCGGCGTATCAACCATTAATGCTTAGTCATCATAACAGTAGGCTTAGACTCCCAGAGATCAACCATTAATACTTAGTCATCATAACAATAGGCTTAAACTCCCAGAGGGCAGGTGCTGGTAGGAGCGCATTTATTTTTCTTGTCACTATCACTTATTCCGTCATAAATGAGGGGACACATCGCATTAAATACGATGTCAATTGTTATACTCGGCTGTTCCGTGTCACCATATCTCGGCTTACCTTCTCAGCACCTTTGAATATCCCAACGGCTTCATTATGCTACGTGTCAACCCGGAGGACTGTAGAGCCACCTAGAGTCCCACCAAAACCCATTGATGGAAAACCATCCGACGAATTGGTTGGTTTTTGAAACTATAATTTTATATGCTCGGATTGCCTTGGTTTGTTATATAAGCTGTTCATATGAGCTTTTGCTTTTGTAGGTAGAAAGAGTGAAATCTGCAACTATATCTTTAAGAAGAGTTCTTTTGTCGCCATCATTTGCTGACTTCTTTTCAGATAATGGGCCGGTGGATATGATGGATGAAGATGCTATTTCAAACCTTTCAATACGCATAAAGCTAAGTTTGATGGTCTGGGACTTTGTTCTGCCGGCGACACCTTCTCTTTCTGCTGTTATTGGTGTATCCTGCATCTATATTTGATCTAAATTTTAGTTTTGGGAGATTTTTCATTGTTTATGTCATATATGTGGGTTTTACTTTAATTGTATGGATAAACTATGTAAATAAGTTCAATTTTCACAATGTTAATAACATTTCTTTGTTGTCGGCATGTACGAATGTCTTTTGTTTTTATGTTCTTTTATAATATTACGTAGTTTGGTTGATTGAGTGATTTATTTTCATAATTATCCTCTAACATGCTTTCTTGGTGAACTTGACATTTGAATGGTTGATCTTTAGTTGGAATGAAAGGAGATTATCTGCATGTCTTTTTTAATATCATTGGTGTAAAATAGATCTTTAGTTGGAATGAAAGGAGAATATAAATTGTGCATATTGGTTGAAATTTTTGGAATGATAGTATCATTGAGGCGTGAATTTTTATTTTTCGGGGTTGAGTTTTGTCCATTTTTTAAAAAAAAAAGTGGTTGTCGCGATTTATTATTAGAATTTTTATTTTTCATATAAGTAATACTTTGTTAATTATTTATGTAAAATGAAGATGTATTAAAGGATGTATTTTAGACTTTCAACTTAGTGTTGGTCTAAGTTTAATACTTAATTATTTTGTGTTCACAATTAATATTCAATGTTTTTTTTATTTCTAACGTGTCTATGTTAAGTGTTTGATTGTTTCGTTTTCAAGAATAATATAAGTTTTTTTTTTAAATTGCACAATTTCAAGCACGGATTATAAGGATAATTTAGGCTTTCAGCTTAGTACACGTCCGAGTTCANTAAATTGCACAATTTCAAGCACGGATTATAAGGATAATTTAGGCTTTCAGCTTAGTACACGTCCGAGTTCAATGCTTCATTATTTCGTGCTCAAATTTAGTGTTCGATGTTTTTTGAATTGTACCGTACCGTAATTTTAGGCACGAATTATCCCTAGTATATATAAATAAAGAGACTCGTTCCAAACTTTCGCTTAGAGCCTGCCGTTCCATCGAGCCGGCCTGCCACTAGTTTTAATAATTCAGTTTGTTAATGTAAGGACAAAAAGAGTGGGAGGCAGAGAGCTCTGTCGGGTTGAAACAAAGTGAGTAGTAAAGACAGCCAAGGAGAGAGGGAGGGAGGGAGTTGGGTGGGGCCCATTTTATAGAAGTTTAATTAGATTTAATGTTTAAATAAAACTTTTAGATATATTTTCAATTAACTTCAAATGGTAACATAAGACACCATTTGAATCTATTATGGTTCAATGAGTCCCCATTGTTAAGGGACTTGACCTCCTCTTATGTAGCAAAATAGCAATCAATCCCTACATTTATGGGATTAGATTTATTTATTTATTTATTTTTATATACGAAACAGATAATAATGATATTTCATCAACTATGCAAACAGTCATATTGCATGAGATAGTACAAAAATTCTGGACACTCTCTCCTCCAACAAACGGACCCAGTACATGTCAAAGCAAATTTAACTAAATAATTAGCAACATGGTTTTCAGAACAACGTGTCCACTTCACTAAAAAATTCTGTAAGTAGATTTGCATGAGCTTGGACTAGCTCCACAAAGCTTCCAATATCGGATTTGTATATATATATATATAACACATTTGTGAATAAAATAAGAAAAATTCTATAAAAGATAAATTAATTGCATATGGTTAATATGATCTTGTGGAAATATTTAACTTACATTTAGGAATAAAATAACTTTGTGGTATTGTTCAAAGATAAAATTAAAAATTAAAAGTTTTGAAGAATAGTTAACATTAAATTAGTGGCAGAGAAAATTAATTAAGGAAGTGAAGAGGTGGTCTATTGAAATTGAAAGAATAGGTATTCAATCCTGAGTTAATATAATAAGATGGTTCAAGCGGGCGGCATGTTAGGAGGTAATGACATGCCAAAAGTCCAAAGTCATTATTACTACTAGAGGGAGAGAGAGAGAGAGAGAGTTGGAGATGAAGAAAATACAAAAGAGAAGTTGAGTGAAATGTTGGGTACCAGAGAGTCTGTTGAAGGGGATCATCAATGCGAGTAAGGAATTTTTCAATCTGACAGAGGAGGAGAAAAAGGAGTTTGCAGGAAGGAAAATTTTAGACCCAATCAAGTGCGGTACAAGCTTGAGTACTTCAAACGGAATGATTTCCTTGGGGGTAGATTTTCTCAAGCTAATTGTGCAGCCGGATCAGTTTCACTCTCCCAACAAACGTTACAAACCTATAGGTTTCAGGTACAAATATTCATCACATCTTTTCATTCACTTAGCCACTCACACTATTGCTAAAAAATATTAAATTCAGCCATTTTGAGGGATTTCTATCCACTCCAATAAATATTTATTCAATTTTTTTCATGGTTCATCGAATTTTTTTTAATGAACGTGTGTATTCACATTTTCTCAAAACAATACCCACAAAACAAGCTCGCTTGTTTTCAATTTTTTACACTAGGGCTTCCTTGGTTTTTCGAACAATAATGTTATGCTGAACCAAATTTTAGAATCAGATTTATAGCTNTCGCTTGTTTTCAATTTTTTACACTAGGGCTTCCTTGGTTTTTCGAACAATAATGTTATGCTGAACCAAATTTTAGAATCAGATTTATAGCTCAAATGACATGACAACATATTATTTAGAGTCTTTATTGGGACCCAAATGACATGACACCAAATAAAAAAGCCCAAGTCAGCTGCTATGTCATTTGAACTCTAAATTTGGTCACAAAATTTGGTTAGTGTAGGATTACTGTTTTTCGAAAATTGGAGAAGCGAAAAACAAAACCAAACAATTTCCTCCTTGTTTTTAAGATTTTAAGAATAAAAATCTATTTTATAAAACCAAACCAAACAAACTCAAATTTTTATTCAAATTAAAAAAAACTCAAATTTTTAGGTTAGATTTTACTCTCTTTTAACGATTTAATAGTCAAATTTTACTTTTATTTAAATTTGAATTTGATCTCGTTTAAATTTAAGTTCGTTCTCTTTTAAATTTGTGGTTGTTAATTGGAATGTTTTCTATAAAGTCAATTTTTTTATTCAAATTTCTGACTCTTTGGTTGTGGCTGCTGCAGTGAGGTCGCAGTGGAGTATTGCAACAGTGGCCGGAGAATATTAAGAGAATTACTCAAAGGAATATCGGAGAGCCTAGGATTGGACAACTATTATGTGGAAAAAACCGTGAATTTGGACTCAAGTGCACAACTCTTTTCTGCCAATCTGTATCCACCTTGTCCACAGCCTCAACCTGCAATGGGTTTGCCACCTCATTCGGATCATGGCCTACTCACCTTCTTTATTGTCACAGGGTAACTTTCGTTTTTTTTTTTAAGGTTACCTGCGAAGACGTTGTTATTATAACCAGTCACACTCAACTCAAGAATAAGGGACATAAACTCACACACGAATCTACTGGGACAACACTCCCAAACCTTATATATTGAACTCAACAATTTACAAGGACTCTCAAAAGCCAGAACACTCTCTGCCTTCCAAAATGCTCAAGCACCTCTATTTATACAAGAGAAAGGCAGATGACACCCCCATCTGTCAAGAGGTAGTTATCCACATTTTTGCTATTCCATAGCATACTGGACTAGTAAACTTGGTCTCTGTGCAACACCTGACAGGCAGTTCCACCACTTCAAATAACTGTTGTGGAACTGCCCCTTTATCAGCATGCATCTAGACTGGATTCAGACTGGGAACATCCAGAACTGCCTCAACAACTGCCTTGATTGAGTCTCAGCATCATAACTGCCCACATTCTCCTGGTCACATGCATTGAGCAACCATGTGTCAATCAGGTGCTCACATTCAACAGCCATGTGCCCACATTCACCAGTCAACCTTGCTATACGAACCAATGTGCATGCTGAGTTCAACCCATGCCATGCAATTCGACGCTCTGCACCCACATTGCTTCAATTGAGCTCACCCATCCTGCCATGCTCAACTGGGTGGTCTCATGCTGCCTTAGTTCGCTCCAATCTGTCAAACCACTTAACCGTGTCACTTTGATTTTAATTTTTGGCAT